GTGTGTGTGTGTGTGTGTGTGTGTGTGTGTGTGTGTGTGTGTGTGAGGGAAACATCTCAGATCAGGTGTTTGGGTTGTAAAGATGCTGCTGATGAGACTCTGTAGAAAGCAGCTGGTCTGAGTGCAGTGATCAGAGTGCAGGAGATCATGTGGGACAGCAGTTTGGAGAGGAAATGGATTCTGTTGTTCTTCAGCTGCTCACACTCACACCTGCTTCTCTCCTGCAGGGACCCAGGAGGGAGGAGGCAAGGGGAGAAGAGGCAAGGAGGGAGGAGGCAAGGAGGGAGGAGGCGAGGAGGGAGGAGGCAAGGAGGGAGGAGCAGGAGTCAAGGAGGGAGGATCTGCAGGAGGGGGACATCCTGTTCTGGTTCCGGTTCTGGCGTCAGTTTTGGGGATCGTGTTTATTGCTGCTGTTTCTGCTGCCGTCTGGATCTTCAAAAGACCCGTGAAGAAGACTCCTCCTCCTGATGAAGAAGCAACTGCCAGACGTCTGGTTCAAACCCAGAGTTCTGATAACTCTCCTCCTCCTGAAGGAGCTACTGTTCAGCCTCTGTGTGACTCAGAGCAGCAGCAGCATCCAGACCTCTGTGGGGTCTCATTCACAGGAAGAAACATGTGTTCCCTCCCTGATGAAGGCAGATGTTCAAACATCTGTCAGAGATGGTTCAGCTCCTCCTGTGAGCAGCTTCCTCTGATGAGACCATGACCAGAGCTGCATTCCTGCTGCTCATTTATTTTATTTTCTCTTTTATAGCTCTTTAAATCTTTAAAATGATATATATATATATATTATATATATATATATATATATATATATATATATGTATATAATATATATATATACCCCTCCCTGGGCTGCCACCTTAACGTGGTGGAGGGGTTTGAGTGTCCCGGTGATCCTAGGAGCTGTGTTGTCCGGGGCTTTAAGCCCCTGGTAGGGTCACCCAAGGCAAACAGGTCCTAGGTGAGGGATCAGACGAAGTGCTGCCCAAGTAGCTCGGCTTCTGTATTTCTGTTATAGCTCAGTGGTAGAGCGTATGACTTAGGATCCAGAAGTTGCCGGTTCAAATCTTTAAAATGATCTGTAATAACTTCAAAGTCTGTCTGTCAATTGTTGATATGATGAAATAAAACAGAGTTGAATTAAATCGTGTTTGTGGTTTTGAATGAAACTCTGAGGTGAATAAAGCTTCATGTTTGACAGCTGCTGGGAGTCTTTGTTCCGTTCCACAGGAGCTTCCAGGTTTGGGAGCAAACGTCTGGTCTGACAGGATTCCTGCTGAGGGGCTCCTCCAGAATCAGAGCAGAGTCCGGCTCCACATCAGCTCACTGGAGAACACACACTTCTGTTAGGAGGAGGGAACCTCAAAGCCTCACCCAGCAGGTCTGAGCCAGGTTCTGCCAGCAGACGGGTCTGGAGCTGCAAGCTGCTCTGAAGGGTTGAACTCAAACAGGAGACAGTTTTAGCCACAATAACCGCTGATTTTAGCTGATTTGTACACATAAAAACTGAATTTATCTGATTCTAACATATAAGCAGTTGATTCTTTACAGAGAAACATAATTTTTGTTGATTTGAAGACAGAATCAGCTTATTTTAGCTGATTTAAACACTGATTTGATAACAGATACAGCAGATTTTAACATTACATTTGATGTTAGATGAGTCTAACATAAAAAGCTGTGTGTTCCATAATGCAGGGCTGTCTCTGAATGTTAAAAAAATATATGGCTGTCTGTCTCTTCTAGGACCAAGCCTATATCTGAGGAACTAAATTTATGGATAAATGGAGCCAGAATCAGGCAGGTCTCAGAAATCAAGTATCTAGGACTAATATTTGACTCACAATTTAAATTTGACAGCCATTTAAAAAAAGTGTCCAAAGTAACAAAAGCAAACTTGTACACATTCAAACTGATCAGAGATTACCTACCGTTTCACACTGCTCACAGTTTTGTGCACTCCATGATCTTTTCACACCTAAGTTACTGCATTAGTTCTTGGTCACAGGCCACAGGCACCACTATCAAGCCTATTCAGATGATATACAATAGAGCTATAAAAATATTAGATAAAAAAACAATCAGGTCCCATCACTGTGTTAGTCTGAACAATTTAAAAATTCTAAATTTTGAGAACTTTGTCAAATTTGCTCAGTTAAAACTGGTTTACAAATGCGTGCGTGATCAGGCCCCTGAGGTTCTGAGAGACTGTAGTTCCTCTCAGAGCTGTGGGCTAGGGTAACCCTAACCCTAACCCTAACCCTAACCCGTCACAAGAGAAGCTCACAGTGGAAACCGTCCAGTACCCAGACCCAAAACTTCCTCCAGACAATCAGCTTTCACTGTACAAGGCACCAAAACATGGAATACATTACCTGCAGAACTGAAGGGAGAGTCAAACTGGGTCCTTTTTAAACACAAACATAAAGACTTTTTATTGATAGTTCAGACATGTGAACATTAATAATCTAACTGACCTGATCTTGTATCTGTGATGTTTTGGTGTGTGATTTGTTCTGTTGTGTACAGTCACTGTGTTTCGTGTAAAAGCCTAACTGGGCACAGGCATTGATAATTATTGATAATTATTATCAACATGTGGTAATGCTAATTGCATATGTCCATGAGTTTAGCATTAACATAACATGTGAGGCATAAACACCACTGAGAACTTACTGTGTGTTTGCTGTGTGTTTGCTGTGTGTTTACTGTGTGTTTCTGTGTGTTTACTGTGTGTTTACTGTGTGTTTACTGTGTGTTTCTGTGTGTTTACTGTGTGTTTACTGTGTGTTTGCTGTGTGTTTACTGTGTGTTTACTGTGTGTTTGCTGTGTGTTTGCTGCGTATTTGCTGTGTGTTTGCTGTGTGTTTACTGTGTGTTTGCTGTGTGTTTGCTGTGTGTTTACTGTGTGTTT